ACACACACACACACACACACACACACACACACACACAGAGAGAGAGAAAGAAAGAGAGAGAGAGAGAGAGAGAGAGAGAGAGAGAGAGAGAGAGAGAGAGAGAGAGAGAGAGAGAGAGGGGTTGCCTAACCTGTTGCCGATCCTGTCCTTGACGCTGGAGCAGGGCTCCATTATCTCCATCTTGGCCGCAACCCTGGCGACACACCCCTCCGTCACATAATTGAGGTACATTAATGGCGTCTTGCCGATTAATTCCGTTATGTCCTTGGCAATGTTCTCGACCAATGGAGTTTCCTCTGCCTTATCGCTCAAAGATAAATCAGCGACCGCAGCAGCGGCGGGTTCTGCTCCGTCCGCCATAATAATCCGTACAGAACCTTACTCCTCCTCCTCCTCCTGTTCCCGACTGCGTGCTCTCCCCTTGCTCCTCCTCTCTCCGAACCTGCTCCTCCTCTCTCTGAACCTGCTCCTCCTCTCTCTGAACCTGCTCCTCCTTTCTTCTGCCTCTCTCTCTGCCCCCTCCTCACCTGAAGAAGAATGAGTTGGGTTTCAGACAACGGTCCTGCTTGTCATCACTGCCTCTGCCTTACGGGGCCCCGTCGCTACTCCGTTCAATTTCTCGATCGATCGATTCATGTCACGCTTGCGCGCAGGGGACATGCCTGTAATGCTAATTACCCCTTCTCTGCGCATGCGCACACTACCGCAGGACTTGTTCGACTGAGCTCAGGACGAGATGACAGTCAGATGCATTCTGCTCGGGCTGTAATTGCAGTCAGATTCATTTTGGAAAGTGATAGTGTGAGTATGCCCTCTGCATCGTTAAGATTTACTCTTCTTGCGACGTCTGCCCCTCCTCTTCGTCCTGCTCCTGCTCCTTCTCCTCCTCCTCCTCGTACTCACTTACCCCAGAGAACTTCCCTGTGTGTGCGCTGCTTCTTCACTTCAATCGAGCGCCACCCCACAGAACTTGCCTGTGTGCGCCGCTTCGTCACTTCGATTTCGATCGATCGCCTCCCTGTCTTTGCGCATCCTCGCCTCCTCTACCCCTGCATGTGCGCACCGGCATCTGCGCTTCCTCCCGCTCCTTCCCCCGGCCCCCTCCCCTCCCCTCCTCGTTCCGAACATTCCCCACGTCCCGACACGGCGGGGGCCAAGTGCTTCCAGGGAGCAAGTCCACAACTTCGACATCCAGAGGGGTTTTGATCTGTCTTGAGGGGTTCCTGCACGACAAAGAGGCCCCCAAAACCGACAAAAGGGGCCCCCAAAACCGACAAAAGGGGGGCCCTGGGGAAAGGGGTGGGGAGGATGAAGAGAACTCAAAATAGCAAGGGAAGATGGGCCTCGCTCCACCACTCTCGAATCGAACTGTGCAAAAAAACGAAACTGAATCTTCCGCTAGAACATGGAAAGATGCACCGCTATGATTTTTTTGTATTTTGTGCATGGCTCGAGTAGTAGAGCAACGCCCAATAGCAAGTGAATCGCGTGACTTTCAAGTGATACCCAATTATTGAATGATGAAGTTGGTACAGACCCAAGGTTCTTTTTTTTTTTTTTTTTTTTTTTTTTTTGTGATCCAAGTTCACATCCAAAGACAATCAGATAACACAGAATAAAATCATTCTGAATTGCCTGGAACAGTCAG